CCTGCATCTAGGACTTCCCACATTTCATCATGTAGTGCACAGAGATGGGCCTTCATGCGTATCTTCAAGTCATCAAACTTGGTACCTAAAAACATCAAATTCTTTGACAAAGTGTTATCCATAATAAGAGATTAAAAAGGCTAAAACAAGTGGATCTCTGTTCACCAAGTAACCTAAAAGATTACAAAAACAAGGAGTCTCTGATACCACTTGTTGATCCCGTTTATGATGGGAACAGTCTAGAGGGGGGGTGAATAGACTGTTCAGGATTTTTCAAACTTTTCTCTAAGGCACTACTGACTTATCAGAGAAGGTCGAATTCTGGTGACAGAGAAGGTCAAGTTCTGATGGCAGAACTGGACCTGGCAGCGGATTGGTTTCTATCCGGGTAGTCTCTGAAAACACTAAGGCAAATGCCTTTCTGATAACTCTTAAGGAAGATCTGCTGATCACAGAGTCCAACCTTTTGAGTTAAACAGTCAAAATCTTAAGTGCAGAAATAAATGCGTAAAGTAAATGACACCGGGGATTTTTATAGTGGTTCAAGGAACAACGTGTTCCTCTAGTCCACTGTTCCACTAAGATTGCAAAAACAACAGTTTACAACGCCTTAGTCCCTAGAACTTAAGAAGCACTCCACGTCTTCTTCAAGCTTAGTTGCCACCCGGGATGCAGTCCTGTTTCCTGATGGCTGGTCTCGTTTCACTGAGTCTCTTGGAAGTATCTCCACTTCCCTTACTCCAGTTAGTTTGAGACGTCCCTTCTTTTTCAAGAAGTGTTTGATTCAAGATCAGTTTTCTCCAACGTTGCTTCTTCACAAAAGATATGTAGATGAGGCTTTCGAAGTGTTGAAGAACTGGAGGAACTTTGCTCTTTGTTGGATGAGAGGATGGGAGTTGATATCTTTCCAACGTAAGCTTTTCTTGTTGAAGTGAAGCTTGTATGCTTAAGTGTAGAGAAGAGGATTAACACAGTTATTGAGCAAAAGTTATCATGTAGTTCTTCGAAGTGTATCTTATGTACTGGGAGCAGTCTTCCCGTTAGAGTGTAGATGGCAGCTTCATTAAATGCTTGTACTGTTGATTTGACCGGTTGGACCTTCGACTTTCTATTTTGGGGGCGTGAAGATACCCGCATGGTCAATCATCAGCTTTAAAAATATCTTCGTACGTACAGCATTAATTGAGCATTTAATGCGTGTATAGTACCTTGTTTCCGTCGAATGGCTCCTAGCCGTTAGGGAATTTCCCGTTAGTTTCACGGCCGTTGAAAAGTGCCTTCGAATTCTGCTAAGTAAGAGCAAGTCTGATGAGGCTTTCTGGTCCGAACTCTGATGTCTGCCTCTGATGTCAACTCTGGTACCCAACTCTGGTAGCTTCTCTGGAGAGCAACTCTGGGAGCAACTCTGGGAGCAAATCTGGGAGCAACTCTGGTAGATGTTCTGATCAAGAAGACAAAGAGGGTATTCAGCATGTCGACTATGCTAATACTTACAAAGAAATTTCTAATACAAAATTTCTAGAGGTACTTTCAAATTCTAATTAACCTAGCATCATCAAAATCTAATTACATTTATTCCTTACACCTAATACAACTTTAACTACAAAACATGACCTCTTATTTCCCCAACGAACTAGCATATAATCTCAAATGACAGCCTTCCACACATCTTCCACCAAATATTTGTTACATGTTATTATGGTGAACATAAACCTCCAAACTTATACCTTGGCCAATTGAAAACTTAGCTTCTGCATCTTTGTATTTGTACTTATTTTCGAATCCCATGTTGTCCTTCCAACTCAATACCTTAAAGTCGATATTTGCATCAACCACAAGAACTTGAATTTTCCTTCTTTTGATAAAATGTTTGTTCACTATCGAGAATTATGTCGATGTCTTCCCTTGAGTCTTCATATTCATCCCCACAATGGGTGTGATGTGTATCTTCTTGCTCCTCTATTGTGTGTCTGAGTGTGTCTAACCTCTTAGATTTCCTTCAACTGCTTATTTTCGAAGTTGTTTAATTAGCTATCTCCAGAATCTTTGAATTCTATGCACTTACTCTTCTGCTTGACTCTCTAAATTGTTCAACATTGTATCATCACGAGATCCAATTCAAATAGTTGGACCTCTACCTACTCGCCATCTTCATCTTCTACATCTTGAGAAGACTCAAAAGCTTCATCATCCATTTTTTCATCCTTTATTCCATCTTCATTTGTTTAGTGCGTATCAACTTGGGTTTTTTTGTGAATTACAAGTTTCTGGTTCCTTATCGCCATTTGATTCAACATGTCTATCCTCAACTTGATTGACTAAATTCACTATTTCATGAACTTTTTCCAATTCCTCTCATCCCTTCATTCCCTTGTATTTCACCAATCCCTCTTATCCCTCCATTCTCTCTTATTTCACTAGCCCCCTTCATTTTTCTCAAACCTTCAAGTAGTACGTAGTAAAAATCAATGATTCTATATTGCATAACTAGCTTGTACACTTCCTTGTCTTTGTTATCAAACTTGACCTTTCTCAAACCCTTTTCAAGACTCTGATCAGGAATAAAGTAATAAATTTCATTGATACTACTATATTTTCAACATGTACCAGTTAACTCTTCAAGTCAAAACCAACATAGCTCATCAGCAACAATATCAAAACATTTAAATTCACCGCTTACATACGCTAGCTTTGCCCGATTAGTGTTCTTAATGATAGCCCAAGGTCACATCTAAATTATAATCATAGTTGATCTAGCCATCTCAAGTAGGACCTAGTGACCTACAATTTAACAAGGACTTCTTTATTTATTTATTTATTCTAAAGGACTTATATAACCTATGTATTTCATTTGAATACATTAAAATAACCCTAAATTCTTCCATGTTCATTTGTTACTTTGTTAAGGGAATGTTTGTGATAGCTTCTCCTTTTAAAAAAGTGACATTTAAAGTGATTTTGGATAAAATGCTTAATAGTAAAAGTTAGTAGTGTTTGAGAAAAAATAGAATTTGAAAAGTAAAAGTTGGTAGTATTTGGTAAAATATGTGTTTTTTGTGTAATAGAAAAAGTAATAAGCAGTTTCCAACCTTTAACTTTTAAGTGTTTAATTTAAGTAAAAGTTGTCACTTGAAAACACCTCTTTCAGTTTTTTTAAACCAAAAGCTGAAAATCACTTTTTTTTATTGTTTGCAAACATACCCTAGGCTACATAAATCAAAAGTCAAGGTCTTTACTTCCAATCTCACAGTCATGCGAAAGACTCCACTTTCCAGTTCTAGCATTCTCTTAGTGTTGGAAGCAAGTGTTGGTGCAAGCAGTGGAGGACCTAGGGGGGCTAGGGGGCACGTGCCCCCGCTTCGGACCCGGAAATTCACTAGTAGCACCTAAGGTAAAAACCAGTGTCCCGCTTCGGGCTCAAAATTTTTATTATAGACTAAGTTTAGTGTCTAGTGTGTCCCGCTCTCACAAATCTCTGGGTCCGCCACTGGGTGCAAGCAAGTTTTCTCAATGTGCAAATGGACTCTCTCAAGCCAGATCCATGTGAGAAGAAAAGTGGCAAGATTGATAGGTTGGAATAGGTGGAAATAATCAATAGGATCTCATTTCCTTAAGATTGAGACAAAAGGGAGTAATGCAATTATTTTATCACTTATTGAATTGTTAAAATATGAATAAAGTAAAAGTGAATTAAAATGAGAAAAAAATAGGAGTACGGAGGGAATAATAAAGATTATTAAAAGTGTACCGCCAATAGTTGGCATTAATATTTTGCTATAATACTAATGTGAGACAGACAACATATTATTTATTATGCATATATTTTATAATAAAAAGTTAAAATTTTATATGTATTCATGTTACTCGACCTCAAACTTGTTTGGGAATAAGGCTTTGGATATATCGTAATCCAAATAAAATTACTAGTACACCACTCCACTTAATCAATTGTCATTACACACATGCTTTAAAAAAAGCAGAAAAAGAAACTTCATTTAAGCAATTGTCATTACACATGCTCTTAAAGTCAGCCATACACATGACTGGCTAATAGCCAAAGTAAAAGGACTGCATTAGTTTTTTACAACAGGACCTGATTTTACAGATGTAAAAGTCAGGGTCGGCCCTGGTGGTGTGTGCAGGGTGTCCAACCGCACAGGGCCCAAAAAATGGGAAGGGCCCAATTTTTTTTTGTAGTAGTATACTACTACCTCCGTCCCGCAATGATTGTCTCATTTTACCATATCGGTCCGTCCCATTAAGATTGTCTCATACCAAATTTGGTAAAATTTGTGTACCTCTAAATCATTCTTACTTTATTTTTACTTTATCAATTCAATATCAACCACATAAACCACTTTTTATTAATTTGCGTGTCACTCCCTCTTGTCCCAATGTTAGCGGGAGGGAGAGAGTAGTATTACTTAGGTGGACTAGGGCAAGACTTTGAAGCAGGCCTGGTTCATCACTTCGTGTATTCCTCATCTACAAAGGAGGAGCATGTATATAGGAACGAAGGAGTAGTAAATCCTCCGTTTCCACCGGTGTGGGAATCTTAAGCTTTAGAAACAAAAAAGAAAAGAAGCGAGGCATGCGGGATTTGAACCCAGGTGAAAATAAAAACATGCACATTGATTTCTAAACATCAACCACCGGACCAAATCAACTAATTGTACAAATACGGACGTACAAGTTTTATATTACCTATTTGTTTTACAAAATAAATAATTAAAATACCTCTTAATAAAAATCAATTCGGTTCGGTTTGAACCGATTTTATAACTCAAAAAACCTTCATTAAACCGATTTATGTTCGAGTCCCGACTTTCGGGTCCCGTTTGTGTCGGTGCGGTTTCAGTTCGGTTTTTTTAACTTGTGTTGAAACTTTGAAAAGAAGGTCCAATTTTTTTTTTGCACAGGGCCTTCATTTCTTCAGGACCGGCCCTGGTAAAAGTATTGAAGTAATTGATATAGACTTACAGCACTTGAACACTAAACATTCAGGCACGTATCAGCTTCCTTTATATTCATGTTACTATGTTAGTGTATCTCATTGCCATTCATAACAGTTGCATTTCGCCACACACAAAAACGAAGTGGAGGAATTAACACTACCACCTATTCCCTCACCCAATGATATATAGTCAGACGGACTACTTTGCTTCTTGTTCCAAGATTGGAATTTTATTCCAACATGTATCATCAACTCCATTAATTTGCAGGGGTGGCAATGAATAAACACTCACGGTTGAGCTTTGACTACGAATTTCTTTCAGAGCCCGCAATGCAGATAAGGAGCTCTTCATGTACAAGCTCTCTATATACTCTATCTCTGTGAGCTCCTTTGATCCTCCACCTCTGAACAGACAGTCACTTTTGGCCGTGGTTCCACTGGTTGAGGAGGAGGGTTCATTCCTAACATCAGTTGCCAATGCGGCTTCGTTCCAAGAGAAAAGGCAATCAATCAGTATCTCACACTCTTTCACAAGCTTGTAAAGCAAGTCAGTGGTGAAGAAAGGCTGTTGTAGCACTTTCTGAATGAAGGGCAGGCGGAGGAGGGTGCCAGTCCTTTTGTCGTACTTCTTGAGTATCTTTGCTAGCCCTGTGTTGTTAATGTTATAACAACATAGATTGGAATAGAACTGTAACACTTATGATCATACAAAGAAAAGAAATCTCGGTCACCTGTGTAGTTAAGAGCACTGTAGTTTTCCATAAGAACCATCTCCCCATGGAAATCGACAACCTCCTTCCTGGTTTGTATCATCTCATCACTGCAATCTTTGGCCTTTTCCACTCTATCCTGAAGATCCTGCACACCAATTCCTTGCAACATTACACCATATACATAGCTCCAATTTGTTAAGGACACTCACCGTTTGAATCCCCCGAGTTAATGTCAGACACTTGATGATGAGAAATATTAAATGCAGTCAAATTATTTTATAATAATAATAACAGCAATAACTACGATTATACCACAGTATACTTGGGAATTGTGCGTTATATATGAGTTTTGTATTTTTATACTCCGTACTAGACAAGCACTCATGTCTTATATATGAGTTTGTATTTTTAGGTTGGGCTGGCTTAACAGTATTAAAGCCAAGGCATAAACTGCAAGATTTCTGATATCTTAATTATTTTTCTCCAGTGCAGTTTTAGGTTTATGAAATTCACATTCCACCATGATAAAGTATGAACCCGCTATCTCTTGTTGAACTGTAAGTCTGTATGAGCATAAGCTAATCTTTTTACAGGTCAAGGCAATACTGAGTAAGAACATTATAGTTAGGGCCTGGATTTCAGTTTCAAGCAATAGGAACAGAATCGTAACAGATCACCCCAATATCACTAACTTCATGCCTTCATGCAATGCGATGTGAATCCTAAACTAACATCATTTTTTAAGATTTGGAGTGCAACTGAAGGACACAAATCACAACAACAGTAATTCGACAATATTTCAACAGGAAATTGGGAAGAAAATAAAAGTAGAATCCATACCTTCAATCTGATTATATACTCCTCCTCCTTCTCGACGAAGAAGGTGTTGAATTTCTCTAGCTCCTCCTCCAGCAGCTTCACGAAATCAGCTTCCGCCTCCGTCACGTTCTCCTTTTCAACACACCAAGGTGCACCCGCAGAATCCACGGATACGGCCAATTTGGGGCGTTTTATGGATCTTTCCTCTCCTAACCCGTCGCTCCTAGAACCAGCAGCGTTTCCCTTGGGCTCAATGAGCTTGAGCCGCTTTTTGAGCTCCTTGTATGAAAGGAACTTGTCCCTCCATTCCGGCAACGTCTCCTCAATCTGATTGCTCAAACTCTTACCGAACTTCATCGCTTTTTTCTCTCCTCAGAAAAATTTCAGAGGTGGAAGTTGTTATTCCTTTTGGTGCAATGAAGGCAAATGAAAGAGAGGAGCAGGGGATATAACTGCGATGAAGGCAAGAAGATGCGGAGTTGGGAATATTCCTTTTGGTGCTCTTCGGAAAAAGGATATATCTTGTTATATTCCATTTATATTACGGAAACTTTCCCACCGGTACTAACACTCTACAAAGAGTAGTAAGTAGACCCGTAGTCCCGTACAACAAAAACAAGGCCGACTGGAGGGATGGCAATTTAATAAGACTCGATGGATATCGGCACCGAACTGAACCGATCAAAATGGGAAAACCCGCTTTGACTGGGTAACGGGTACGGAACGGAGAATATTCGATTTACGTAAACGGGTAATGGGGCGGTTATGGGTTTCTACCTACCCGTCCCGTTAGCCGCCCCGTTTAATTTGGATAGGGTTACTCGCATCATTACCCGATCCGCACAATTACCTTACATATTTTAATAGTTTATGTATTTATTATTTAAAATATTAAGTATATATGAATAGTAGTACATTAGTATATGACACTTATTCCTTCTAAATTTTTGAAAAATATTCAACTAATCGACTATCCTTTGCAATTCTGAGGAGTTGGTGTTCAAAGTTTACTTTTTTAGATTTTTAATTTTCAATATCATTCATCATCCTTCCTTTGTTAATTGTTACAAGATTTATTTTCTTCACATATTGATTATTTGATTTTCGTGATTTTCTTTACACAATTTTCACATTGTGACTCTCATAAATTTTCACCCAATAACTTTCATAAAGCTCACATATGAGTTTAAAGTCCAAATATTGGGAAACATTATTCTAGATTGCTTTAATTTATGTAATTGCTAATAATTTTGTAGAGGTGTATTGGATAATCAAATTAACTTTGATTGGTTGCTCTAATTTATACCAAGTTTTAAATTTAAATTATGAGGTTTCTAAAATAGTAACTACAAGAATACCTAAATCGCATTATTAGAAGTACATTTTCTTGAAATAATTCCAAATCTATAATCAAAATAAAAGTTGTGGACAAAAATGTGACTCTAGTAACTTTAATGTTTATAATTTTATTCAAATGTTATATCGTAGTGACTATAAAACTTACCTATGTTAACTTATAGTCACATTTATGTCTATATTTTTTATTAGTAATATTTTAGGGGGGAAACTTCCCATTTTCATTATGTTACTTGTATACATTACTGTTCTTAAATTTAGATGTTGAATGCTGGTGGGGTATGATTATTGAATTTTTGGAAGTTAAATGTTTTTGTGATTCATATTTAGATTTTATTATCGAGACAAGACTTAATCTTTTGATGTTGATGTGGTAAGAGATTCATAATTTTGAATCTAGACATATGTAATTTGTGAATATTAGGTTCAAACAATTATAATTTTTTGTGATGTTTTAAGAAACTTTATCTGTGGTGCTATTTAATTTTGATTTTTTTTAGTTTAGGTGGTCAATTATAAGTAGTTAATCATCATTTTAGGATTTATACTAATTTTGAACAAAAAAAATTATCTTTTAATAAAACGGTTACCCGCGGAGAAACTGTTACCCGCGGGGAAAATCGTTACCCACGGATAAAAAATACCCAACGGGTAATGGGGCGGTTTCGGGGAAAAATATTATCAAACGGGGCGAGTACGGGTAATGGTATACCCGACCCCGAACCGCCCCGGTCTTACAAAGAGTCCCGCCTGATGTACAAGGCATTATTAGCTTTATTATTATTATTATTATTATTATATTAGGTTAAAGAGTCAAATAGGTCCCCGAACTAACTTAAAAAGTGCAAATCACCCCTTATATAGGAGTCTATGTCCGGACGTCGCCATTTGGGACGCTTCCCGGTGGAATTTTTTGATGAATTTTTTTGAGTATCTTCTTCGTTAAGTCTAGTTTACCCATACCAAATCTATATATATTTAAAAAGGGAATCGTATGTCCCATAACTGTTTCCGCCTAAGAAATTCACGTGGTCAACAACTGCACTTCTTCCGGTTAATTTATCTGACTTTGGTAACTGCCTGCTATTAAATGTCAAATGCGAGCACTCAACTGAAACATTCGTTTGCCCTCCACATTACTAGCATATTATTGGTTAGTTCATTGTTATCAATTAAATTATATCCGTAGTACTTCGTATGTATACACATACACATGCCATAGAGAAATACAACATGCCCTGGTAAAAATGGAGGACTATTTAGATTTTTTATTTTATGTAAAATTTTCAAGCATACAAAAAATGACACCACATCCATGAAGGTCCCTAGAAGGCGGTACAGTTATTTGGGAGAATGTAAGTTGAATTTTGATCGCACTATGATGGAAAGAGAGTAGAATTCGATCTTAAATCATTGCTTTGAATTGAATGCGGACCTCTGCCTTGTGGCACTCTCTTTCTATTAGATGAGCTACGCCCTCTCCAAAAAGTGTAATTAAATTTGTTTTCAAAAGCTTTTATGTTTATGTTTCTATTTAGTGCATACTTAGTCTTTTCAAAAAAAGTGAAATAAAAGTTATTGACAAAAATATGACTAATAATTACTATAGTGTAGTTTCATAATCACCAAGTATAAAACATTGAATATAAGTTATTATGAATAAATTACTACTACGTATTAATTGTATTATAGTCATTACTCTTAAAAGATAGTGTTTCTGTAAACAACACTTATTTTATTCACGTGTATATGTGTGTGTGATTATTACATACTGAGTACCATTTAATGTGCTATTTTTATACATAATGTTTTTCCACGGTAACACATACGAAGTATTTAAGATACATGATCATTGTTTCTTCTTTTTCCTAAAAGTCGCTCACTTTCAAAATAAGCATTTCTTTATCATGACTTTTAAATATATTAAATAAAATAGAAAAAAATATTATTGTCTCGTGCATCGCACAGGTACTATACTAGTTTCAGCTAACAATTCAATCGGGAAGGCAGTCAAATGAATTTTTGAAGATAACTGTGTAGTTAAACAGCACAGTACATATACCAAATCATTTGATTGTCTTCCCCGTTGAATTTTTATCTGAAATTTGGTATGGGTAAACTAGACTTAATGAAAAAGATGCTCAAAAAAATCATCAAAAAAATCCACTTGGAACCGCCCTAAATGGCGACGGCCGGACAACGCCTCCTATATAAGGGGTGATTTGCACTTTTAAGTTAGTTCGATGGCTTATTTGACCCTTTATCATCATCATCATCATCATCATCATCATCATCATTGTTGTTGTTTTTATTGTTATTCTTATTGTTATTATTCTTATTATTATTTGATGGATTACCGACCCCTAGGGGTAGCCGAAATCCAGGGAATAAGGGAGAAGATCGGAAAAGTTGATAAGTAAAATCAGGTATCAAATTCTGCAGAGTAATAACAAGAAAATTCTCAATTGGATCCCTTTTCACATGTTGGAAGGTGATATTTATACTAAAAAGGTAATAATCGGTGCCCAAGTAAAAAATATGTTGTTCTATTGTGGTGAGTACATGTGTCACACACGCCTAACAGAATAATCAGACTAATCTAATAGTCTGGTGACACCTGTAAAGGCGGTTGGAGAGATAATTGGGACAACTGGCTAATTGGGATTGTACGTAACAAACCTATCTCGGAATGCACGTGCGGGTGACACGTGTATTACCCAAGACATTCTTCGTCTTATCTGCATGGGATGATGTGGTGCTTCGTATGGTGTTGGTGATTGGCGATAGCTTGCGTGGTACTTGATTCCGTGAAATGCCTAAGTCCATGCAACACTAGTGAGGCCCCGAGTTCCATGAGGTCAGAGCTCAGGAAACTTGATCTCCTATTAGAGGGTTTATCTATGGACTTCGGCTTTGTCTGGTAGCGGTGATTCTTCTGTTGACTCTTGTTGACCTTGCATCGATGGCACAGGTTAGAGTTGGTACTGACCTCAACGCTCCCAAGGTCGGCCTCGTATTTTGCCTTATCTAGGCGATCCCCGAGCGCGATGTTCATGCCGACCTCGGGTGTCGAGGTCGGCCTTGGTGTAACTTCCGTGTTTGAGTGTTTTGAGATGTTTGAGGGCCTTTTTGTCCGCCAATTATGATACCCCAGGGCTATATGGGAGTATACTCCATCATCATCATCATTATCATTCTTCTTCTTCTCTTCCTCCCCCTCCTCCCCACCCCCTCCTCCTCCCCCTCCTCCTCCTCCTCCTCCTTGTTGTTGTTGTTATTATTATTATTATTATTATTATTATTATTATGATGATGATTATGATTATGATTATTATGATTATTATTATTTTTTACTTTTTTTACTATTATTACTATTATTACTATTAATACTATTATTACTATTATTACTATTATTACTATTATTACTATTATTACAATTATTACTATTATTATTATTTGATGGAGTATTAACTCCTAGAGAGAAGGGAGAGCTAGAGAGAGAAGTGATTTGTATTAATGAATTTCCAACCTTTTGATTTCGGATCCTTTACAATGAGAAATTGTCTTGCTATTTATAGTAGCCATAAATGCTAGGTGTAATTAATGCGGGTACATGTGTCAAACGATCAACGGTGGAGGGTCGAATCAACCAGGGTGGCGCCGACATAGTATGTGGCACCACATTTAATGTGGTGGTTGGACGTGACACTGCATTCAATACGGCAATCTGGAGTGTGCGGGGAGGAGATCTTGTCGGGGTAGTGACGAAGGCCGTACGTACCCCGGAGGCCTTCATGTGCCGAAGGCCGTACGTAACTGGGGATTGTCATGTGATGAAGGTCGTACGTACACCGGGGCACTTCATGTGCTGAAGGCCGTACGTAGCCGGGGGACCGTCATGTGTTGAAGGTCGTACGTACCTCGGGGGTCTTCATGTGCCAAAAGGCCGTATGTAGCCGGGGGTCTTCATGTGTTGAAGATCGTACGTCCCCGGGGCAGTCATGTGCTGAAGGTTGTACGTACCCCGGTGGTCTTCATGTGCCGAAGGCTGTACGTGCCCGGGGCATTGATGTGTGGCCTATGGGGATTGTCTGGAGTCTTGTTTGCTGTGTTTGGGCCACTTGGGCCTTTTGGGCCTGTTCGTAGTAGTGGAAGTATGTGGGTCGGGGGT